ATTATATCCACTATGCGCAAGCCATCAACTGCATTTAGAATTTGCAGGCATATATAAGAATGTAAATGGCATATTTTATTTCCTTTTTGCTCTGACAAGCTATTACGAACATTCCTTTCTGTTCTCTAGATCTTTATTAAGAAAGTTAGTGTCACTTTAGAGTTTGTTTAGAAAATAAATAAAAATGAAATAAAAAAATCATGGAGCTAACTATATTATATGAATGATGAAGGATGTTAAATCTCCTGTTTACAATTCTTCAAAAGACTGCCAATAATTAACTGAAACACAATCTGTACTGACAAGCCCAGATAAGAAAGTACAGTTAGATTAATCACACTACTCCTTAACTAATTTCTGAGAAGGGATATTTTTATTCTTCTCACTATTATTAGATTGAACAGAATATTGTAGTGTTGGTATATTATAACTTAATTTTATTTGTTTCGTTGAAAATTTATTATGTTCTGTTTATTTCACATTTAATACATGGTATTTTTCATAGAGCTCCAGGACACATATATATGTATTTTTATTTTGCTATAAAAATATACAATATCCATATGGTAATACGGAACATGGCATAAGATGAAATATCATCTTAGTATTGTAAATACGGGCAACTTTTATCACATGAAAACACTTTGTAGAAAGATGTGCTGACGGCACCTGGTCATCAAAAGAGTATTAATTAGCAAAAAGTTCTAGGTTTGCCTGAGTAAAAAGATGTAGTACCCAAGAAAGAAACTAAGATTGCTTTAGTCCTTTCTTTAATGTATTCTGTATATAAATACTTCACCACATCACCCAATCTGGTTAACATGAAATAAAAAATAATAACAGTATATTTATCTTGCTTAAAATAACTTTTTTAACAGACTATCAGTGAGCATGATAAATATAGTAGGCACTTAATAAATGTAGGTGATTGTGAAATTGTATCCTCTACAATTTAAATTATGCTTTTAAAAACCCTGTTTTTAAAAAAATTATCATTGTTTATAACAATAAATCTTTCCTCTTTTCCGTTATCTCATTTTATTCCCTCTACCACTTTAGCTTCTTATTGGTGTGCAAAATTCTTGTCCCCAATACAGAGTTTATGTTCATTTATTTGAGCATACATCTATTGAGACTCTCTGAAAAAAAAGATATTGATATTGACACAGTGGCAAAAAGTAGTGACTTCGTTTTTTCTTCCTAAAACTTTCAATTGTGAAATAGTAGTATCTTCAGAAGTCTCTGCAAGCAATTAACACTTTGACAGTAGCATGTAATAAGGTGAAGGCTCCTTCTTATTTTGTCTCTTTGTTATGGAAAATAGCCAAATAAACAACTTTTCCCTGGTCGGGCATTAGGGTTATTGCTGGCCTTAGGAATTGCTACTTTTCCCACCTCCCCAAAACACTCATCTAATAAAAAAAATGTCTTTAATATAACTCACCAAGGGTATATTTTCATTTTATTAAAGTAGTTACTGATAAAGGTCAGAAATTTAAAGGCTAAATCAAAAAGAAGGAGGTATAAAAGTACTACTAAAAAAATATTTTCACAGTAAAGGAAAAAAAAATACGCCCTTAATTCATCTCTGGTTACTGAAAGTTTGGCACAGATATCTTATTCTGTGTGGAAGGTTTAAACAGCTATCACAGCATTTCATAAATTTAAACTTGAATTGAAAAGCTTTCCTTGTCTCCAAAAGAAAAATAGTCACCTATTACTTACATAGTAATTACAGGCTATGCAGCTGCCCTGCAAAGCTTTACTATAAATGTGTTAAGCATGAACCACTACACAAACCTTATTCAAACTGCATTAAATGTTCAGCCAAAGAAATGTCATCCTCCACCCCACTTCACACAATTGCTTACACAAGAACAATGGCCATCTCCCTAGTCTGAGACTTAAATAACGTAATAGAATCAATGTTGTTGATTCAGGCTATGGTTGGTTAAAAGTCATTACTGTTATTCCTCACCAAGTAAAGAGGTCTATTTCCCCCTCATTATGCATAAGTGAAGCTTATGCTAATGTATACAAATCTAAGAACGAATAAGCTTCTTTGAAATACCACTTAAAGATTATTTCAAGAAAAAGCATGTGGCTTCCGTCATGATAAAAATATTGACCTCAATTTCTATACAGCCCTGAGCCTTACTTTAAGGCTTTCTAACATACAATCTAAAGCTCACACAGCATTTCCATGTGCTTAATACTTTTAAAATATTTAGTTGGTCACACAAAGTGCTATAGCAGTATCATGTCATAAGCAGAAAAATAAAAAGGCCAGAACCCTATGACAGTGTTTTAAGGAAAGTTAGTGGAAATAAGATTTCTCAAAATTTCCACCTTGTCTTTAGAGGCCTTATATCATCCATTCTAAACAGGTAGTATTAATACTGTTCTTTGATTTTTATTATTTGAGCTCTGAAATAAATGAATTGGGTAAGATTGAAGAATACTGTAACAATGAAAAGTGTCAATTGTTATAATTTAACGCCTAGAAAAATCCAGGAATAAATCACACTGGGCTTGATTAAGTTTTATTTTATCTTAATTCAAAGACACAGACCCATTAAAATGCAACACAGTCTTACAACTTTCTATTTTTGAAATATTTATGAACTTGATCTTGCTTAATGAATAAAGATGGCGGGGTCATGAAGGATATTATATGGATATCATGTAACCCCTGATACCATGTGAAAAAAGAGCATTCTTTGTGGCTTTCTTCCTAGTACTCCACAAATCTAGTCTAATTATGAGAAAGCATGAAACAGATTCAAGTTTGGGAACAATCTGTAGGATACCTGGCCAATACCCTTTAAGACTGTCAAGGTCATAAAAACAATGGAAGATTGAGGACCTGCCATACTAGATAAAACTGGGGAAACATGACAAGTAAATGCAATATTCTATAATATCCAACTAAATATACAACTTAGATTGGATCCTGGAGCAGAAGGAAGACATTAATGGAAAACTTGGTGAAATCAAAATAATGTATAAACTTCAATCATTATGCATGAGCATTTGCTCATTAGGAGTGACAGATATTTCATCATAATGTAAGATGTTAACAATAGGGAAAACTGAGGATCAGGTATACAGGAATTCTCTGTACTATCTTTGTAACTTTTCTATAAATCCAAAAATTTTCCAAAACAGCAGTTTGTTTGTTTTTTTAAAAATGGACATTTTTTTAAAAATGTTTTTTTAAAAGCTGGGGTGCCTAGACAGTTAAGCTGGTAAAGTGTCTGCCTTTGGCTCAGGTTATGATCCCGGGTCCTGGGATCAAGCCAGCGGCTGGCTTCCTGCTCAGCAGGGACTCTGCTTCTCCCTCTCCCTCTGCTCCTCCCACAACTGGTGCACATGTGTTATCTCTCTAAAATAATTAAGTAAAATCTTTTTCAAAAAATGGACAAGGCTATTTATTCCCAGTAATTGAAAATTAATCTTCATCTACACTAGGCCAAATTTTACCATATAATTCATCATCTTTAAATCTTACATCAACATTCTAAAACTACACATTAAGTGCTCTCAAACTTGAGGAAAATTATTGACTATCCATAGACAATAGACACTAATTACTCAGCTCTAAAACTCTTCTTGCTTTTCAACCTGCTTCTCCACTGGGAAGACTTGAGGAACCTCAACATTCACAAATTCCTGTTACAACACTCCTTTAAAACCAGATGTCCAGGGACGCCTGGGTGGCTCAGTGGTTGAGTGTCTGCCTTTGACTCAGGTTGTGATCCCAAGGGTCCTGGAATCGAGTCCCGCATCAGGTACTCTGCCACCTGCCTATAGGCATTTCCCTCTGCCTATGTCTCTGCTTCTCTCTCTGTGTCTCTCCTGAATAAATAAATAAATTCTTTAAAAAAGAAAAAAAAACGATGTCTGATGGCATAGTGACAAAAGAAACAGAGAGGTGACTTTCCCTATTATTTTGGCTGAAGAACTAATAAAATTAAAAGTTTCACTTGATTCATTCCAATAAATTGCAAGAAACCTCTCACTGGCTATTTAAAATGTTTGGTCCATTTCAGGCCAATGCGTTGATGATATAACTTTAGAAAATATAGTATCAGAAAATTAAGGGTAAATAAATCAGATTTTGAAATGAATGCATATATTCAGCAAAGTATCCATAGTGGTGGCTGGTGAGAGCAGATAAAAGGCAATGATGTCTGTGAAAGTATGTTTAATTTCAGTCCGTTGAACGAAACCTAATTTCTTTTTTTTTTAGAAAAAAATTATAGAAAGGACAGAATGTGAAATTTTATGCAGATGATGATTGTAATAGGTGTGATGGCTACAGTTTCAAAAGACAAAACAAATCTTAAAGCTAGACTTGCTCATTATAGAGAAAAAGATCCCTTAAATGATACTTTTGGTCATAAAGAGCAAGGTCTTGGAAAAATTTAGACAACAAAAAAGTTAAATGCATTTTTATAAAAGGATAACAAGCATTTTTAGACTAACCCTAAAGACCTGAATGACTGGGTTTGGGGTTTGGTGATTGGAAGAATGGAAATGAGACGGAGGGAAAAGTCTCCATGAAGAAGTGGAGATTGAGAAAGTGACAGGCAGTCCCTAAGTGACAAACTCCTTATGTGGTGAGTAATGTTAAGTATTGTATTTGCTCCCTTTTCAGCATAGTGTTGCACAAAACTTTTCCTTTACTCTAGACCTTAAAGTAAGCTATACTCAGCAGCCTTTGGTTAGTGATGCTCTGGACAACAAAGGAAGGCAGACAGTATCCAGTGTGTGTGGGTGGGGGAAGTATCATGGCAGCGGAGCAGTAGTTGGAGGTAATTAGAGTAGGTAGTCAAGAGTTCAATAAGAGTAGAATGGTGGAAGGGCCACGTCAGGAAACTTTAATATTTGGGGGGAGTAAATGGAGTGGAGGATCAGGCATTTATATGAAACTTCAATCAAAGAAGTTCTAGAGGACTTCAGAATATTAAACAGTAGATATATGTAGATGTTCTTACCTTCCTCTTGGCAGGTCTGCATCATCCTTTTTCCACCGCACAGTTGGTTGAGGATCTCCTTGGACCTGACAACGAAATTCTACAGCTTCTTCCTCCAGTACCACCTGGTTAATTGGCCTCCTGAGAAATGTGGGTCGTTCTTAGGAAAAAAAAAAAAAGCAAAAATGGTAAAATGAAATGAATGTTTCATTTATTATTAAAACATGTTATTAAAACATGTATTATTATTAAAACATGTTACGTGTTTTGAATACGTTACAGATAAAACATAACTCTATCTCAACTATGTCTTGATAAGACTTTACGAATCCAATGTAATTGAATAAAATAAAACATTTTGGATTACAGAAGTAGCTATGGTTTGTATATAACACCATACAATCCTTTGGAAAATATTAAGTTGATTTTTCAATGAATTCCTAAGCTAAATTATGTAAACCTTATCATAAAAATCTTAACACTGGATTCCACAGAAACAAGGAAAGAGATAAAAATGATTAATCTATCACAATGGCTGAGTGGGAAACTTGAAATTGTTGGAATATATAGAAAAAGAAATATATTAATTCTCCATCAAGAATTCTAGCATTAAATGGAATTAAAATAAAAATTAAAAAAAAGTGCTAGAGAAAACAAACAAACATAAAAATCATGCTCTCACACATAAGTGTTATCTAAGTTTTCCCACATAGGTTCATTTCACCAGGGCTCAATACGTCCATGAATGTTTTTACTTCATTTATGGAAAACTCTCTACCTGATTTATTTTTTCTTAAATAAAAAAGCTGTTTATTTGATTTTTTCTTAAATAAAAATCACCATTATTATTCATTGTTGTAAAGTATTTACTGTCACACATAATTTTCCAAGGCCACTGCCACTTATCTTCTCAGTGTTCTAGATTTTTTTCTTTACCTAACTTTTAATGTTTCTTTATTTCACTAATATTGTGTTTTAGTTTTCCTGTCCTTGTTTTTTTGTTGTTACTTTGCACCTATTATCCGTAATCTGCATTTTAGCACTCCTTTACATCAAGCTAGAGAAAAATAAATCCCTGTCCATAAAAATCTTATCATCTAAGAGAAATATAAAACAAACAGTTGTTTCACAAATCTCTAAGCACTTCAAATTCTTGTCTAATTTCTTCCCTTTTTGATAATGGTCTGATACAGGAAACATTACCATTTAAGTTTTTATTAGCACATGTCTCCAAATCATAGGCAGTCTAATAGTGCTACTTACTGAGGTAGAAAGAGAAGTCAAGGAAAAGAAAGATGAAATCCATTGAGAATTGACACAATTTATCTGGCCATATGGCCATATTTAGTCACTTAAGACTTTAGTTTCAAACCCAGTTTAAAAATATCAAACAAGTAGCACAAAACTGAAACATATTTTGCAAGAAAACTTTAAAGAAAATAAATCACTTTAAATAACATATATTAAGAGTATAGGGTTGAAGTATATAATTTTATTATTTAAATAAAGATCTATATTTATAAAGTAAATGTGTAAGTTGCAAGACACATACTGTATTGCAGTGAAGGCAACAATCATTGGCATTCAGAAGGAAGACAACTCCATCTCTCCGTGGTGAAATTGACAGTAGGGATCAAAAATTTCTCTAAAATAGCAACCTGCATAACTTACCTAACTGTACTCTGAGACCTCAAAACCCCAAGTCGTAAAACAGGCAAATAGAGCTTTTAATAGAGAGCTTTTTAATGCAGAATTTAGAAATAATCCATAAAAACTTGGAAGGAAAAAAAAGGTTGCTCATAAAGATTTTAGTGAGAATCAATTAGCAGCTAAATGCCCCCCTTCCCCAAAGACAACAGAACAAATCTGCATGTTGGATGGAATGATTTAGTATTACCCTCTTTTTAAAAGATTTTATTTATTTATTTGAGAGAGTGAGAGAGAGGAGAGCATGAGTAGGGGAGCAGTAGAAGGAGAAGGACAGGCAGACTCCACTGGGCACAGAGCCTAACATAGGACTCAATCCCACAACCCCAAAATCATGACCTGAGACAAAAATTAAGAGTTGGTTGCTCAACAGACTGAGCCACCCAGGTGCCCTGATTTGTATTATACTTTTGAACTCTGGACACTATGTGCTCCAAACAACTACTTTAGCACTGGCTAGTTGTTATTGAGCTATTGTTTCTGTCAGCAAATAGGTAACAGGTTCAGTAAATATCTCCGTATGAGTGCTCAGAATGTTAATAGCAAAAATGAATCATTAGCACAGAAAGTAGGATTAACTTTTTCTTTGCAATCACTTGGGGATATTCATCCAATTCATCTGAAGGCTTTGCCTCTAACCCAATGTTAAAAGAGAGCTAGGCCACTGTTACTATGGCTTGAGATTAGGAAGTCATGTCAATCTCAAGTACAACCTTTCAAATCATGTACTACCTAGTGTATGTAGGGAAGTCATTTTCTCATCCATCCATTCATTTAGCACATGTTAAAACAGCTTTTCCTATGTCAGGCTTTGAGCTTGGTGGCTGGTAAACAGCCGCTTGGTTTCATCAGAAAAGGAGTGGGAGGTGAAGCTGTGATTGGCAAGATATGTAGGGCCTTACAGGCTAACTCAAGGAATATGAGCTTTGCCCTGAAAGTGAAAGAGAGCTGCTGGAGGATTTTAAGTAAAGAACCAACATTTTTGGGATCCCTGGGTGGCGCAGTGGTTTGGTGCCTGCCTTTGGCCCAGGGCGCGATCCTGGAGACCTGGGATCGAATCCCACATCGGGCTTCCGGTGCACGGAGACTGCTTCTCCCTCTGCCTGTGTCTCTGCCTCTCTCTCTCTCTCTCTGTGACTATCATAAATAAATAAAAATTAAAGAAAAAATTCCCTTTAAAAAAAAAAAAAGAACCAACATTTTTAATAACGTGAAAAAGACTGTGTTGGCAGACCTGTGAAAGATGAGCTAGAGAGAAATGTGAAGCAGTGAATTATGTCAAATGTTTCTTGTAAGAAATTATTTCAGCTTCGACTGATACAGTGGTTCTCTGGATATGGTAAAGGGGACAGAATGAAGAGATATCAGAACTGAGTGATCAATCAGCTGTGGGTATTGAAGAAGAAAAGTCTAGAAAGATCCTCAAGTTTCTATTTAGCAAATTGGAAGATTGGCAGGTAAAGTATGGATATGGTGTGTGTGTGTGTGTGTGTGTAGATCCTTTCATCACAAAAATTGTAGATATGAGAAAAGTGAATACCTTATGCTTATGCCATTGTTGGTCAGGTTTCTGTTACTTGAAGTTAAAAGCATTCTTAATTAAGAAGATGAAGGAGGCTACTTACATAATAGGAGGGAAAAAGAAAAAATTATGATACTGTGTGTAGATACAGAAAAAGCTCTTATATTTAAAAAGAAAAAATACAAAGGAATCAAAAGAAACTTCTTAAGCATGGGGAAGATATTTTATCAGAAATTAAATGCAAAGCTTCTTTTTTCAAAGTACTATCCTAAAATTATGCCTATTAAAATCAGAAACAAGATGGACATGCCAACATTAATAATCAATAAGAAAAAAGTGTGAGTATTGGGGAACATAATAATAATTTCGATAATTGCAGCAAAAAAAGAAAAAAAAGAACAACATAGGATCATTGTAGCAACACTGGTAGTATTAGAAAATGGGTGTGTTTAGGAAAAATCGTGGCAAATTCATACATTGCAAAATGAGTAAGTCATTAGAATGTTAAAGTTATGTTGTATCTATCTATCTGTCTATCATTTATCTAACATGGAAAACTTTCATGACATGATGCTAACTATAAAGTAAATTGTATAACAGTATGTGAGAGTAATTCCATTAAAACACACATGAATACTTTCAGGCAAAGTTTGTGTATGCTTCCTTTAACATGCTACCTGTCACAAAATTACAACATATGAGTGTAATTAATCCTAGGGCAAACTCGACATTAAACTTGTTACAAAACTAAAGTTGCTAAAAGCTGTCTCTTCATCCTGGGGACACTATCCTTGAGGGTTTTCTGGATATCACGTGTGTTCTAAGACTCCCTGTTTTTTTATGGAAACATGTGGAAGCACCTGATTTATAATTTCAAGAAGACATAGGATCCCCTGCTGCCCCGTTCTGATGAACTCAGCATGGGTGGACAACTTTGCAATGAACTTTCTCTATTCCCTTCTGCCCTCAAGCAGAGTCTAGTTGCCTAGCAACTAGATAACTGCAGTAGAGTATGTGGCATAGAATTATTGGAAGCCTAACATTGGCTCATGATGGAAAATGTAATTCAATTGATAAGAAAGAAAAAAAGAAAAAACAATGCAAAGAATAAGCCAGATAAATTCATTTGCATATATAGAGCACATGAAGATGGGTTTTATACTTGAGGATCTTTGGTTATACCTTCCAAAAAAATGACATTGACGTTTACTAATACATTAGAGTTTGGTCACGACTTTTAAAGTATTATTCTGGGAATTTCCATAGCACCCATTAGTAATTATCTCTAAATTGTATTATTCATTATTCCAATTGTTTTCTGCTAATTATACTAAAATCACCTTCTACCTCAATTTTAACTGCCTTCAAAAAACAGTATGTTAAAAACTGTAGATTTGCTTAACATTTATTTAAATGGAAATACATATTTTGTAAGAATTATTTTCCAGTATCCTTCACTAGACTTTATTTCCAGAAAAAATCTTAGAAACAGAAATATGAATATTAAAGACTAAAGAAGTTGTCCAGGAAGAAAATGTATTTTTGAAGGCTTTGCCTCTACCGTGGTTACTATTATCATAAGTCAAACACAAAGCCATGTCTCTTTCAGACACAAATTACAAAAGCTACAAGGAAATATCTTGGGGATTACTGTTTTGTGTCAAAATCATCTGCAAAGAAATATAAAGTTATAAGGATTAGAAAGCAAGTTGATAAGTAATCACATTCAATATCCATTAACGCCCATGAAGTTTGTACCCCATGAAGATTTGTACAATTAAAATAAACATATATGAAAACATCTTGAACTACTAAATAATGAGCAAACTTAATTTTGAGGCATGTAAAATAAGGTCACTGATTTTTCCATGTTATCACCTTATGTCTGATCACATATTGAAAAACAGAGGGGAGAAATCCCAAGGGCTGTT